CGGCCGGGCCAGCAGCGAGCGGGAGGCACAGACAGGAATGTGCTGACAGCCAGGAAAACAGCAGCTAGAGGAGACGGGGCAACAGCCTTCATGAAGACATTTATAGAAAAAAAAAAAAATCCAAAAATGTTAACTGTTTTTGTTAAATAAAGGCAAGGCCGCGACGTTGTCTCACGCTTTGCCCCCCAGGGGTGCTTTGCTGCTGACACAGCTGCCCTTGCTACCCCCACACAGGCAGCAAGTGCAGGCTCGGCAGGGGCGACTGCCTCTGCACCTGGGGTCTCTGCAGCACCAATGCTCTGCAGAGTGTAAGGAAATGGAGAAAACAAAAAAAAAAACCCACTAAAAAAAAAAAAAGGCTGAAATTATTTTACTCCCCCGAATAAGAATGGGGCTTTTTCTTTCATTTTTCTTCCCCTGTTCTCACACCTGATCCTGCCTTTCAGAGCAAGGACAGTAAGAAGAATCAAAGGTCCTTCAAACCTGATACAGAATATCGTAAGTTAGGGACTTCAGTGCTCTTGCCCTAGCAAACAACTTAGCCATGTGGTTAGTGGCGTATCTACCTTTACCCAGCTGCACCAGGTACTTGCTTACCCCTGTGTCATCAGCATAAACCAGCTCAATTTCTGATACGTACATTCAACAGATAGCCCTCCCTGCTGCTGTACCAGAGAGCACAGTACTAGAATCATAGAATTATTTGGTTGGAAAATACCTTTAAGATCGAGTCTAAACATGCCTGTCCACTACTAGACCATGTCCCTAAGCACCACATCTACACATTGTTTAAATACCCCCAGGGATGGGGACTCCAACACTTCCCTGGGCAGTCCATTCCAGTGCTTGACAACCCTTCCTGTGAAAATTTTTTTCCTGAAGTCCAAGCTAAACCTCCCCTGGCACAACCTGGGGCCCTTTCCTCTCGTCCTATCACTTGTTACTTGGCAGAAGAGACCAACACCTGGCTACAGCCTCCTGTCAGGCAGTTGTAGGGGGCGATCAGGTCTCCCCTCAGCCTCCTCTTCTCCAGCCTAAACAACCCCAAGCCCCCCCAGCCGCTCCTCATCAGACTTGTGCTCCAGACCCCTGACCAGCTTCATTAAGGAACTACATTAATGACATAATACTGTCACCCTTCAAAGCATGGCAGCTTTTGAATCGGCTCAGCCACCACGCTAATTACACTAATACTCACAGAAACATTATAAATGATATGTAAATAGGTTTTCCTCTTCTAACATCGTAGCACCATTTCTAATTAACCCTCCCCTTTCTGCCCCAACAATTTCAGTCTGGGGGGGGAAGAAGGCCAAAAAAGCATCCAGATTTTCAGCACCTGAATGAGCTCGTTCACTAGAGTTGTAAATACTACACAGAACACCCCAAAGGCAAGGAATTATACTCAATATTTTTTTTCTTTGCCCTTATAATTCAAACTTTCAACAATGGGTTTATTATTCCCAGACAATTCATTTTGAAAGACAGTAAAATAAATTATCACAGGTCCTCTTCTTTTATTTTCTCAAATACACAGTCGTCTTCATTTGGCCTAACCAAAAATCTTTTCCTTGATATAAAACCCGAATGGACTACCTGCAGTGAAACAAATAAAACAGTTAAAAGAGTATATGCATTTCAATAATTACAGGTAGATACAAACATAAGCCAGAAAATCTGACATGGTACTGTTCAGGTGCAGCAGTTGATCTCTTTATGTTGGCATTTCAGAGAGAACAGATTCCCCCCCGCTGGAATAGGACACAAGACCAGTTGTTTCTGCTCTTATCATTTATTGCAGTGCACTAAATGTGGTGCAGATTGAATTGCGGTTCCAGATGTGCCAACATCGATGTTATTGGGCATTATAGTGGCCACAAGGACATATGCACAGGTACTTTCACTGCCTACCAGGCCTTCTGAATTAGCCTAACTACTGTTAATCACACATTCTTAACTTTAACCATAACACCTGCATAAATGATACCTTTCAACTCTACTTTTCCTAAATGGTACCATGAATTGTCTGAAACATCCTAACACCACATCACCTGTTAGGTATAAGCAGGCAAACTATAAGCACCCAAGATACAAGCAGGCAAACTATACCCTTACATTGCATGTATCTGCAGTTTTCTGTTGTACTAGGAAAGTTTACGGCACGGATTTTTCTTCTACCTCTTGCAACATGGCATTTTGAGATATATATATATATATATCAAAATATATATATGTAAAGTAAATGTCCTGAAAAACCCTACTGAAAGTGTCTGTCACAAAGCTCTGGCAACCATGCCACAATAACTGACATTAAGGTGTTAGGCAACTGGAACCAAATTTTGTGTAGATTAATTGTGTAGTAGTAATTTCAAACCTCTCTTTTCCAAGATCTCTAAAAGACATAACAACAAAATTGCCTAGATGCAGGCACACTCTACAGCACAGCTCCGCTGTCTGCAAAGTCCACCTATTGCATACCAGTTAAATCATGTTTATCTGAATTGAAAAGATTATTCTTGATTTACCTACTAAATCTTACTGCTGCACTAGATTATCTATCCAAACAAGAATTTACAGGCTGTTATGCTGATCTAGTAGTATCCAAAACCAAAGTTAAGTTTTTCTTCTCATGAGTCAGCAGAAAATATTTGGCTTAAGTTTTCAGAGTCTTTGGACAGCAGCCAGTTAACCTTGCCACCAAGTCAGAGCAAAGACTTGTAAGAGTTTTGGGGATACCAATGGCAAAAATTACAAAGACCCAACTCAAACACCACTTTCTAATGAGAACATGCAAAGGTACGCTTCTGATACATTTTTCAAGCACCTTGCAGAGAAACAGAGGAATAGGAAAGGGAAGCCTTAAGAACCTTAATATTGCAATCACAGCATTTAGAAGTTAGCTCAGCATGGTTTAACATTTTATATTAATTGTCTGTCTAATGACATGGCTTGGTGCATGAAGACCTAAACCAGTTTAAACATGCTCTATAAAAGGAGGCATAGCATGCTGTACTATCATTTGCTTTAATAAACAACTCTAATTTTCTTAGTTCACCAAGGTTCCATATCAGCAGGCAGACACTGCACCAGCAAAGACACAGCTGATAAGCTCAGTGGCTTAATGTTGCCCTGTCCAAGGCTGCTCTCCTCACAAAAATTCAGAGGGAGCATTCACTTGCTCACAGTCAAGGAGTCACTTTAAAGTGTGTTCAAGTCAGAATGACTGCCTCAAGCCCAGAGTACCACTTAGTCCTTGCTAAAGTTGTACTGCAGCGAGGCCACCGAACCACTTCCTTCGGTCTTCGTCACAGAAGCAAGTCTATTCAGAAAGTCTTGTCTCCCTTTCTATTATTGGCAGGTTATTTGCGAATACTGAAGGCCACACCTTCCCTAGAATCCCATCTCCAGCAGTGACAAGTACAGAGCACTTCAAAGAAAGGGGCAAGAAAACCCCCTGCACAGGTTAATTGATTTGCTTATTGAAGAGCAATTAGTGAATAGTTTTATGCTGTTTCTGACAACATAGCCACATTAATTTTTTGTGAATTCAGATTTGGTTTTCTCTTTTAGAAATATTTCCCCTTTGGCCAATCACACACTGTAATTTATTTTAATTCACTTTATGTTATTCCCTTTCCATTTATTTGTCATCTCATATTCAACAAATTACTTGGAAAAGCAACATTTTTTAGCCATTTCGCTATTCAGGAACTATTAGCTATGAATACTGATTCCAGCAAATGAACTTGGAATTACATCTTTTACGTGATAGGAATGTAGATTTATAGATATGTAACATGACAAATTTTGCAAATGGGTACAATTCCCAGCTACAGGGAAGAACAAATGCACAAACAATCCCAGTGTGGAATCCAAGTACAAATCTGTAAGCTGCATCCACAGGCAGCTGCTGATATACATGCACGATCTCTGTATACATTCTGTCTTTCTGTAAACTTCAAATGTCTTATTTAGAAACACTTGCAAAAAGCAAATAAATTAAGCAAGTTGTCATTAAACCCATCAAACTAAACCAAAATGTTTATTCAGACATGTTTCTTGCCGCCTTCTTCCTTCCAAAACTCAAATTTAGCTCTTTTTCCTACACAAAGAAGTTTCCATTAAATTTATTTACTAAATTTAAAAAATACAGGTTGGGCTAAACACCACTAGCAAGCAAGACACACTCTATTTACATTTTGGAGACCGCTCTCTCACTAACCTGCTTTTGTTGGATGCTGGATTTCTTACTATTTTTCGTGGATTCAGGCATCTTGATCTCCTAAATAGATTGAAAAGTTTAAACTTACAAGAAGCTTAAGCACTCCCCCAAGTACTCTAACAAAATACATTGAGCAAATCAGCATTCCGTTCAACCCAGCAGAAACAGTGTACGAAATTTATTTACCCTTCTCTCATAATTCTGTTTTAGTCTAAGCTGAGTACTATCAACAGCTGAACAGTTAAATAATGGATGCTCATCTTAATAATTAAAGATTTACTGTATTCCCATTATAAATAAACTTAGAATGAAAGAGAACAAATCTTTTCCAAAATTAAAGTTGGTCTTTTCTTCTGAATCGCTTAGTTTAAAGCTGTGAAATAACATGCTGTTCGTTGCCTCATTGCTCACTGTAATCAGCATGGGTCTAGAAGATCACACATGTTCCTTTCCTTTTTTCTCTTCAGAAGTTTTCAGTTAGCAGACATTCAAAGTCTTTACATGTCACAAGGTTAAACAAAGGCATTATTAATGCTGAAAATTATTGTTAAAAATAACAAGTATCTAAAGACATTTTCATCCTTAAAGGCCTACACAAATAACAGCAGAAATATTTTAGCTACAAATTAGATTTTTATTTTATTAACACTTCTATTTAAAACCAAGAAGTTTCTCAGTGTGAATGTCACAGATCTCAAATTGGCCTAACATTGCAGCAGATGGAGCAAGCAAGTGAAGTGGTGAAAGAGCGAAAGCCAGAAATGGATACAACAGGGTAGTGCAGAACATTCAAAAATTATGCCATAGATACCCTTTATCATATGCAGCAAAAATTAAATGAGAGAGATTATTAAAACTGTGGTGATAACCCTCTTTGACATTCAGAATATTATTTCAGTAAAACTAAGCAAAGATGTACTTTTTAGTCAATTCTGTACTGAAGTGTTGAAACATGCAAGAGCCTTTTCCTCAATGGGACTTCTCTCAGCACATCTGGAAGAATGACAGAGTAGCAGGCTTATTTCTTTTAAATGCAAATTCAGATACCAACATACACACACTCACCATTTCTTGGCCTTCTTTGGCTGCCTTCATCATCTGTTCTGATATAATTTTCTTCAAGCAGCTACTGAGCAAAAAGGCCTAAAGAATGTAAACCAGAGAACATTCTGATTTCTTCTGTTAAAAGGTGTACTTGACTCTTCCATTCCTCCTCCACCAGAAAATTACCATCCCTAATGACTGAACTATTACTTCCCTAATTCAGTTAATTTTACTCTCTGCTTAACATCCCTACAGTGCACCAAACTAGCTGCAGTTGCTTAAAGCACAGCCTCAGCATGACTAACCCTCACGGCACTGCTCAGAGTGGAGAATAAGAGTTTTTATGGCTGGTTTTGTGAGGCAAGTTATTCTCTCTAGTTGTCTGCGGCTCCTACCTTAGAGGCTGCCAAATTACACCAAAGGTTAATCAAATGTGGCACTATCGGTATCAAAACCACTTTGACAAATGAAGCAAGCTGGAGTTCACAGGCACTCAGCACTGCTGAAAATCAAAGCCTTGGTGGTTATGCAAGATGGCCGCAACTGTTTGTAGACCAGCTCACAGCCACATCTTGCACAGGTAATATGAACGGAGCAGTGCGTGTTCATCCCACACGTTAGGTATCTAGCAGAGGCACCTCAGAGGGGAGTGGAGTTGTTCTTAACTCCTTATGCTGTCTGATCAGCATGTGCAACTCCGTGGGATGATGCGGCCCAACTTAAGGTCCAAATTGCGCCCTGGAGATGCACCTTACTGCTTACTCTCCAAAAGGAAGCATCTCAGATAGGGCGTCAAGCACCAAGAGATGAATCAAAGAAAATATCCTGTAAGATCAATGATGGAGGGGCTCTGGCTAAGCTCCAAATCATCTATTCTTTCCATTTTCTGTAGTGGGATCTTGGATCAAACCCTTGTTCCTTCCACACAGTAGCACGTTTCTGGCCTTTAGCTCTTCCTTACACTTCTGAGGGAAGTGAGATGCAGGTTTTCTAATCAGCAAGTCACTACATCAAGCACAGCCCTAATAGATTTCACAAAATTAATACTGAGGTAATTCTAGGGGTTTTTGTTCTCCAACAGCAAAGAAACTAGAAAGCTTACTGCTCATGTTCTCATAATACTTAGGCATGGCAGGAAATTAACACTTACTAAATAGCTGTGTGAACTGCATCATCACCCCAGAATTCAGAAGTCGTGTGTGGGAAATTAAGCATTTTGATTTTACTTGAAAAAGCCTGTCTGCTGCAAGGCAAGAGAAGCAGTTTACTTGAATAACAGGCTCTATACTTTTTATAGAAGCTCTGTACCTAAACTGAGATTGGTGCTGTCTTTGATACTGCAAAGCCTAGAGTATTTGCTAGGCAGCATAGCCACAGATGGATGACTTGAATTCCTGGATACCTTTCTCTTTAAAGGGCTGCCTGAAAACAGTGGGAGGAATGGCAGCCTACAAAGTCTTATTTAAGAATTATTTATATGTAAAAAAATATTTATCATAGAATCATAGAATGTTTTGGGTTGGAAGGGACCCCTAGAGGTCATCTAGTCCAACCCCCCTGCAGTGAGCAGGGACACCGCTAACTAGATCAGGTTGCTCAGAGCCCCGTCCAACCTGGCCTTGAATGCCTCCAGGGATGGGGCCTCCACTACCTCTCTGGGCAACCTGTTCCAGATGTCACATATCCACACCCTCCATTAACCTGTGTTTATATGGCTTATATTTATATTTGAATAATAGGATTTATTATGGAAAATGGGAGCCCTTGACCTTCGGTGAGTCTGACCAGTTAATGACTTTGGATACTTACTGACTCCAGTGAATAAGTGGCACCTCTCCACACTCCATCCCAGGCTTGCTAGAGTGCTAGACATTTCTCTTCAATGGGGGGGAAATCTCTTCCCCTTGTACTAGAAACTCAAATTCTTTTCCCCAGATATCCTTGTCCCTAGGCTAGCCTGCTTGAATGCATAGCTGCTGCAGTCTGGTAGAGAGGGACTAACACATTTTAAGACCCCCTATGGCTGTAAGATTACATTTTACTCTGATCCTTTCCTAAAAGGACTGAGAACTAACCTGTTTTGTGTACAAAATTATCCACTGCCATGTGCCTGAATTATTGTACTCAAATCTGAGCTCCAGAGTGTCTTCCTCACCATCTTTTGTAGCACCCTGAAAAAAAATAACAAATAACCAATGAACATAAGAAACAGCTAAAACCAGCATTAAGATGTTCAGCCTTAAATCAGAGTTAGTCAGTTAGGTTCGTTTTATACAGTATATAAATAAAACAGTATATAAATCCGTACCAGAACACTTCTCCTGGGGGAGGGAGCAAGTGGGAGGTAGGATGGGGGAGTCTTACAAGCATAAAGCTGGCTAAAGCAGTTCTTTCACTCCCACACAAAACTCTCTGCCAACTCTACCTCCAACAGGCAAGGAAAGGGGCAGGTAAAGTATGGCATGGAATACCAGGGAAGGGAGAAAACAGAGTAAGGCTAGATGGTTTACTGCTGTAAAGGCTGCCAAGGGAATATGTTTCATGATAGGTTTGGAGGGGAATATGGGTGGATAGGAGGGATTTAAAGCAGACCACCTCCTTCCCCCCAGCCCTGCCTTTCTCTGACAGCCTTAGTTTTCATGAAGAGAAAGTGAATTCAGGTACAAAGTCAGCAAAGTACTTACAAGAAAAGTAACCTGCCAACTTCTTAACCTGTTGATTTTAAAGCTGACCTCTTTGGTTTGGTTAGTAGGCAGTTTTATGCAGCAGTTAATCTCATCATTGCCGATGTAAACGTCGGCTGAGCAGCCTTCTTCTGGATAGTCACAAACACAAGGATCAAGCCGCATGTATCCATAGAACTGCATTTCTCGAATCAGCTCCAGGATCTGCACCAAAAAGACAGAATTAAAGCAATTTGCTGTAAAGGCAAGTGATATCTAGTGATTTGGAAAAAAAAAAAAAGAGGGGGCTATAAGGCAAATCTTTCAGATTCCTAATACTCTTTCTGCTGGGAAGACAGAGACTCACCAAAATATGTCAGTGCTAGATTCAGAGAATAGCACTCACAGTCCAGACTTAGAAACTTTTTTTTTACTGGATATGATGAGTTGGGTCTTTTGGATGCTTATCAGATATGATGAGAAGAAACAAAACTAACCAGTAAGGAATACTGAGAACAGCAGTCCCAGCAGTCTGAATTTCCATCTGACTTCCTAAACTGGATGACAAACCTTTGCACCTGAGTTTAGCACACAGACAAGTATGATTCACAGTCAAAAACTTCTTGCTAGCCCTTAGGATCCAAGTCATTCTGCTGGGATATTTTAAAATGCTAGCAGAATGGGAACCTCCTTTTCTATTGGTGGCTCAGTATCTAACCAGGAGACGGGAGACCTGGGTCTCTAGCTCAAATCACTCCACAAAATCATACCCTCTTTTTAAAGTCACAGCCTCTAGTGTCATTGCTTCAAAAACCACTTCTTTGATCTGTTTATATTGTTTTTAAAGTATCATTTTACCTTTGCTTTGTTTACATTTTCTTGTAGAAATTGAAGGTCCTGCATCTGCCCTTCTGTTGGTTTAGCCCAATTCCTCTTAACTTCCTGGATAGCCTTAAAAGAAGTTTTAAAAATAACAAGAGTCAGCAAAAATGTATTTCCTTTCTCTGTGCATGTGTTTCTGAGTGTCTGGGTGTGAAAGCTTTTTTTTTTGAACAAGGCCTTTGATTTTGGGACAAGTTCACTCTACACTGTTCTTTCCTCCCAAATTAATAGTTTCCAAAACTAGTAAAGCTCAACACACCTACAGTTCAGAATAAAAGTGCCTATCATGGCAAAGTGCCTACACACAGAGACATATAGATACATTACATACACTTGAAAATAGAGTGGATGGACACGTAAACATGTCCTTTTTGTGCAATACTTTTCCCATGCACAAAACATAGATGAGTTGGAATCTTTGCAACAAAGCAGTGTTAAAGAGGAACCATTTACAAACATTTCATGAATTTGTATAAAAGATGAAATTAATGTGGCCAAGTTACTTTTAAAGTTTTAGAGACCTTTCAGTTTTACCTGCATATACAGTAAATTCAGTGAAGCTCTACAACCCATCAGCAGTGTATCAAGAGAAGGATCCATATACCTTTTCCATGCCAAGAGAAAAAAAGTATTAAATTATGAAGATATGCTTCTAAATACGGTGTTTTGATTTTTCAGCTAAATATGATGGGAGCACAACCCAGAAAGATCCCATTACTTACCAGATTAAAAAAAAAACCAAACAAAACCACAACCAAAACACAACAAAACACAAAAAACAGTTGTGCTCTTGAAGCGTGTACTATACTCCTTCTTATACATTGTAGCAGAATGGAAATAAACTATAGTCAGGTCATCCAATCTCTCCACTTTGATTTTGGTGGTACCAAACATAATAGTTACAATTTAGAACTAAAACTTTCCTCCTCCTTTTCTCAAACAGCTTGAGGTTTGTGTACATAAAAGTTGTTATGGGTATCAGAGCATCCACTGCCATGCTGCAGTTCTGACATACAAGACCTAGCCTTAAACTAGCTCGCTACAGTACCAACTGCTGTAGAACTGCTGCAGAATCAGATCAGTACAGCAGCAAAGCAAGCTTAGTACTCAGTTATCCGAGTGCCATGTTGCAACAACGAGCTTGAGCCATTTTATTTAAAAGCAGCTTGGGCAAGCCTACATGACAATACAAACAGAGCAGCACAGGCTCTATAGCTGATACAGCTGTATTACTCACACTGCACAGGCGATACGTCTCCTGCAGCATGGGAACAACCCAGGGACTGCCATTTCCTACCTCTGTGCTTTGAAGCAGTGCTAGATGGAGAAGCATCTACTCAGACAGCCACTTTGTTATGGCTCAGTACCATGCAGAAGGCTGCTAGGTTCTCCAGTTTGTAAGGGCACATACAGGGAAACAGAGAGAGCTTTGTAGAGGCCAAGGTCTAGCCCAGTAGATTTAAACCAGACAAGTGACAACCATCAAACAACAGGTTTCTGTGTAGCTTCAAGCCAAGCAACCTTGCTTGCTGCCACCAAAAGGCATGCATGGTCTGTTCTTCCTCTTCTGCTCCAAACCACGGCCCTTGCTCTAGCATTCATCTGATGCAGCCAATGCAACTCAAAAAGCATGCAAAATTCTATTCCCTTTTTTCTTTTTCATTGTAGGGAGTAGACCAGACCACAACCACCACAGCCAGCCATTAGACTGGCTCAGCTATACTGCCTAACGGCACCCTCAGGGCACTGCTTGACAAGCGGGACTTTGGCACCAGACTGCCTGTCCCCAGGGTTTATCCTCACCCACAAGTCAGCACAACTGCTGGCTGCACAGCAAACAAGACTGGGGGACTGACCCAAGCCAAAAATAGGCCAGAAAAACCAAATAAAAAAATAAACAGCCAGCCAACTTATTTTTAGGCCAGGTTAGCTCGCCAGTCCAGTTTACCATGTCTGCCCACACAGTTCTTACCAGCATAACTCAGGAAGAAGCCTGAGGTGTGAGTAAATGAAAGGGGAAGAGTGCTCTGCTGCTTAAGCCAGGCCACTTACCAGAAGAAATGCTCAAGCTATGGCCTCAGGGATTTTGTGTATTAGTATACAGAAATGAGCACTTTAAATAAAAAGTAATCCATCTCTGCCTAAACAGCTGCAGCTTGCAACTCAGAACTCAAACTTCTCTTCTGTATTATTTACAGGTATATTCCCATTTGTGGTCACTGCATTATGCAGGTATAAAAATTAGGAGGCAAGCAGCCACAAAGCACCTCTCTATAGATTCTGAAAGAGAGAAGGAATAAATAGCTAGCTGCAGAAAAGGACACATCAGGAATACTACAGTGATAAAATTTAAAATACACAGGGCTACAGAAACCAGTTGATTCCAGTAACAAATTGGCCTCAGAGAAAAACAGTCAAGCTTCTGAGATTCAAAGAATTTGTAACTAGGTTATTCAAGGGATTTATTTCTCTGTTTATAGCAGTTATCACGCATCTCGGTACTTTCTCTTAAGCTTCTTGCTCACCACTTTCTGATCCCAAGCTTACAGTGCAACTCTTTCATGCTCTGAAGACTCACATAAGGAAGTTCAAAGTCTGCCACTTTTTTCACCACTAGGAAAAGAAGAAAAAAAAGAAACCAAAGACATTTGGTGAAATCTAGTGAAATAGCCCAGCTACTTTCATGTATCTGCTAGTGCTGGTTAGCAATGTGCTTTTGGAGAAGAAAAAGAACTTAACAAATATAAATTCTGGGGTAAAGTAAGGTGATGGTTTAGTTATCTTCCTCACTTCTCAGACTTTAAACTTACATAGCTCTATTACTTACAGACTAGCTCTACTCCCTTAGACTATGCTCTTATAGAATATCCTTTTCTCAAAACACAGCTAAGTAGTACAGATGTTTCTGCATTTAAAGGACAAGTGGATGCAAGCTCCCAGGACTGGCACTTTTCTTGAACAGAACACCAGACAAGAGCAGTGTAACTAACTTACAGCAAGAAAAGCACATCACTCTTCAGAGATTGCTGATTTCCTGTGCACTTTTTAAAAGTTAGATCAAAAGGCCCAAACCTGTAAACATTTATTTCTAAGCCAATGCCACAATTCAGGAGAATACTTGAACATGTGATTCTGAGCATGTGAGCAGTGGATGGTGGGTTACATTTGGACTTGATGTATTTGTGAGGAAAAAATCAAAGATGGATAGAAATGTGATCAACTGAAAAAACTTTTCTATTCTCCTGTGTATCTAATTATATTGCAATACAAGGCAAAAGTAAATCCATCTGCAACTGTGGTAGAAGAGTATATAAAACGTGTTGTATCCAGATACACTTGAGACATACTAATGGCCAGGGATTCTGTGTACTCAGAGATACCTTTCACAACCAGAGAGGACGGGGCAGGGGAATGATAAATAAAACAGACACAGACAGTAACATTCCTACCCCAGTGGGTAAGCCCAAGTTTACTACTGGACCTTCATCTTGAGAAGGTTCAGAAGAGCATTAACACCTTTATGCCAATGAAGAGATTGAAAAAAGCTAAATGACTTGTCAAGGCCACACAGAGAGGCTGCAATGCCTAGCTTTACTGCAGCCAACAGCAAAGGCTGTGTTTACTTCCCTGATGTGGCCCGAGCCTGTCCCAGCCCCAGGCCTGGATCCAGCCTCATACACACACCCGCCCACATGGGAAGCAGGACATCAGCAGACCAGTGAGGACATAAAGGCCCCTTCACATTTTATGCCCATAAAGAGACTCACAACCCTGATTTACAGCTTGCTCAGTACCACTGTGGTTAAGCTTAAGTTTCTATCAGTTAAGAAAGGAAACATGTCATGATATAAAGGAAAGTAAGCCACAGACATTGTTTATAACAAAAGAGTTTCCTGTCCCATTGTTAAACTCAGCATGTGGTCTATAAATTAAGAACTGTTTTATGTAGGTATGGCTATCTGATTAAATGCCTACCCAGAATTTCCCATGTGGTAAAGTTGCTACATGTCTTGTAAACTGTAAGGGACGTGATATTTGTATGCAAAAGTCTCACCCCTGCACCACACTATCTGTTGCCAGACTTTGTTCCCCACTACCACTGTTTCCAAGCCATGTGGGGAGAGGGCTTGAGGAGATTTCTCAGACAGGACGGGTCTTTTGGCCTGAGCAGGCTCACGCAAGCTCTGTATGGACTTCAGGTTCAGTCACTGTGCCCAATAAAAACAAACAAACAAAAAAAAAAAACAACAAAAAATCCAAGGGAGGCTAAGTTAAGCACCTTGTAAAGCTTACCAGATAGTGCTCCATCATCATGATCTTGAAAGAAAAATAAGCTAAAATACTTTATTAATTCTCTTGGTAGACCCATCTTGCATGACGTAACCTTTAAAAACAAAGGTCAGAAGCTTAGCTATCCATTAGCATGAATAAGGAAAAAATGTTCAATACCTATTAATTTAAATTAATTCTTTTTAAATTTTCCCTCATGTCCCATTTTAATTGCCCATTTAGAAGCAAATATAACCATTCCCATATTGCAGCATTTGAGTTTGTGAGGAGTTTCATAAGTTTTAAAGGGAAACATAAAAACATAATAAGATAGAAAATGTTTTCTACTCCACCATGGATTTAAGTATCCTCTAACGCAAGGCATCTGTCGTGTTATTCCAGATCTTTACTACTAAATCCTCAAATCCTGTTGTACAGTAAGCACTGTGTGCTCTGAGCTAACAACACTGCTCATGAGCATCATAAATACGTATTTTTACAGGATTTGTGTATTTTCCAAGCTGATAGAGTCCTCTTATTTTTCTAGGAAGTATCTAGGAGTTATGCCCCTTAACTGGAAGTGCAAGTCTTATTTGTAGGGTTCTACGATTCTGTGTGAAGGCTTCTGACAAGAGCAGATTTGAGCTCTATTGAGCTTTCATTGTTGACAGTGCATAAGGAGGAAAAATCCTACCCAGTTGAATAAACATTTGCATTGTTTTTATCTTGCTGTGGCCCCTCTACATCTTTCCTGAAAGAGGACAGAAGTAGCACCAACAGAAAATGCAGAGATTATTTGTAGGACCAGCTGCACAATGGGATAGCGGGGACAGAAAAATCAGGCAGAGGCGAGTACAGAAACCGCTGAATCAGACTGGGGCAATTGTCTTGTTCTATTTTAGGTCCTGAAAAATCAAAGCCTAAGTTAAAGCAGCCATAGCCTATGAGCACAGTGCCATCAGAGCATTCCGAAATCCTGCAGCGACCATAATCTTCTGAGTTTGCTCAGGGAAGTGGTGTGGCAACCATAAGAAAACTCTCCACCCTGAGAATAGTCCTGTCATAGCTCATCTGGCAGATTGTGCAACCTGATAGAGGAGTCATGCTTTGGTCAGAGAAGCTGGACTTTCTCTGAGCACAAAGTGGAAGCACCGGTTTTCAGCCTTCTCCCAAAGGGTGCCAACCCCAAAACACTTCCAGCTCTGTCACAGTCACAGCATTGTAAATTCACTCATCTCCACAGTATCAGCTGGTTTAAAAAAGCATATATGTTTTTGTGCATGGAGAAAAAAAAAATAGACATCAAGCTAAATATAGGTTGGGAAGAATTGTTCCAAGTTAAAATTAAAGAACACAGTCATGAGGTTTTCCTTACACTTGTTAATATCGGGACTGCTACCGGAGAGGGCAGCAGAACATAAAAATCACTTGCCTCACACTCAGTTCAGACACCAGGTATAATAGAAGAAAGTTTCAGAATTCCAAACACAAAAGACAAAAAAGCGAGTATTAGCAGCACCATCCTTCATTCTGTCTGCCTCTGTGCTAAGAAGTCCCCACAAACTGCTTTAAGAAATTAGCCAGAGCTTCAACATGTTATCCCTTTGAAGCATAATACTAAGCGTACCAGATGGCATTTCCCAGGAATGTCAAACAGAACTCTGATTCAGTCAGATTTTGACTTATTTTATTTCTTGGATCAAAGCACAAGCTGGTATATGCTGCCTGAATACCAGGATGTTGGTGAAGAGATGGTTGCAAAGTCTACCTCCACTGCAAAAGAACAGTGAATGCGGTAGCACATTTACAGTGACAAAAGCTAAATAATTCCTAAGAGTCCTATCTTTAAGACCACAAGAGAAGAAACAGTGTCTGTAGCATTTCAAATGTCATTGTTTCTCTAAAGTGCCACATAAACATCAAACATCTATAAATGCAATATACAAAGCAACATATACACCACCACTGTCCGGCTCAGAAATTACTTTGACCCACTGCAAAACTAACAAGCTTATCAAGGTCAATTTATTAGTATTTTTTAAAGTATATTAGCAAATCTTTTCCTTACTCGAGGTCCCTATGCAAGCCTCCTATCTAAAAATGTCTCCTTACTTCTTCCACCCTACTAGCACCTACTTCACTCTCCACAAATCAAAATTCCTATCTCCCTGCCACCCCCAAGGCTTTTTACCTTCAGCATCTCCCACCCCACAAGTCTCCTGTTGCAGGGTCTAAGGTCAACTCTGACACTTACCTTCCCATGGAAGAACTGGTCCCAGCATTGCCTCGGGTGGTGCAAACCCCACAGCAGAATGAAACCAACAAGGGGTTACCCTGTGTTATCCAACTCATGGTAACTGTGCACAGATACTGTGTGTTCTGCAGCCAGACTAACACAGGTCAGCTTGACAGAGGAGGGTGAATACATGTTCAGCTTGCTTGTACCTGTGGCCAGCTGAGAACTACCTCCACAAACTCAGACTGCAAAGCCACAATGGAAACAAGTACACAATTTTCTGTATGATGAGAGGAAATTGCAGATACCCATGAAAAAGAAGAGCACCCATCTGGCAGGTGTATGCTTTGTTAGTGCTGTTAAATTAGAAATAGGAAGAGGCTTCAGCCTTGCTCATGCACACACACGTGCAAATACACAAAACATGCAGAGCCACTGCTGCTCCTCCTCTCCTGGCATAAGAAGGGAACCCCAGCTGAAAGTTTCAAACACAAGCCAGCCAGTTGTGTAAACAACATTTGGTTGCTACTGGTTTCAAAATGTAAGTAGCAATTGTTTACTGTATGTATTACAGCAGCTGTTGCAGACATCTCAGAGCCACAGTGCTAGAACTGCGCCAATACTGCAAAGGAAGTCCCCCAATTTCACAGCAAGCATCAGGGGACGCAAAATAAATAAAGGAGAAGCATGCAGAAAAACAAGACATATCAGTTACACAGTAAGTTTTAACAGCAGTGCACCAGCTAAGACATAAGCCAAGACTAGACCATCATTTCTGACTACAGTGTCCAAGCACTTTCACCCACACTGTGCTAAAACAAAGGGGGGGGGGGTTTAATTAAGAACGTCTCCCCATAAGGACATATTTTCTGATTCTATCATATATGAAGGGAAGCTGAACTTGATAACCAAATATCACAGAAACAGAGGGCATGTAACATTGAGAAGAGATAAACTATGGACAAATGTAAGAACCAAAAAAGCTCATCTGCAAAATCAGCAATGCCCCCCACCCTCCCGGTACAATAAAACCCTCAAAAACCACAGAAATGTTCAAATACATGTGTCTTCTAATACAGAGTTTTATCCTTTCCTGACTGAAGTTATCTTCATTTTTGCCTGCTTCTCACAAATGAAAAATTTCAACACAATTCTAAAAACCCATTACCTCTAATATTCTTTCTGCAGTGTCCGATGTCTGGATATCAAGTCTAATATTGCTGCCATCAGCGAGGTAAATATCCAAAAAGGCTGTCTGGGTCTGGATCTTAAATGTGTCCTGTTAGGTAGAAACAGAACACTGTTTTATTGCTTTCCATATTGCTGGAGCCCTTCTGAAGATGCTGATGCTCCATTTCCCTATTTAGTTTGGTAAAATAAACAATTGAGATTACTGTTTACTAAACAGTAAGTTACTAAAATTACTGTTAAAGCTTGCAGATGACAAAAAAAATATGCAGAACAGCAAGTGGGAAGATACTGCAGAATTAGAGGAGGGTCACTTTGATGTTAACTGAGCACAGGTTATTTAGCGTCTCAGAATCTGTAGGAATGACACAGTCACCGTCCTAGAAATAGAGACTCCAAGAAGAGGAGGCTGATAAACAGCTGCATGTGAATATTCAAAGCCACAATCTTGCCAAAAGGAAAAAAATGCATCCACGTACCTATTAATAGGAAAATCTCCAGAGAGAACAATGAGGCTATAGTATCTTAATACACCAGAGCCACTGCTACTGGAATACTGTGCACAGTGCCAGTGCCCAAGGTTCAAAACCACCGCAAACAGAGAGGAGATGCAAAGAAGAAACCTAAAAGCATTTAGGTCATGAGAAAACAGGCCTCACAGTAAGTCACCTCAGAAAACTTTTACGTCTAGACATAATAAATGGGTGATAAACAATCAGGAAGACTAAAGTACAGAAGCCAGATCCAGTGGCTGTCAGCTGATGATAGACCCAGTCAGACTAGAAGTAAAGCACAAATTTCTCACAGTGAGGTAGCGCCCAGAAATGGTGTATTCTACACTGGTTTTATATCAAGACTTTACATTTCCCTAAGGACTTTCCCAAGCTCAGACTCAGAAAGCCCTATGCTTTGCTATGCATGAGAAGTCAGACTTACTTGTTTCAAGAGGATGGACACTAGTTTGAGAACTCCCTTGGGGATGCATCTGGATGAGGTGGCAGAAACTCCTCTCTGCAGCTCCTCTTCATGTTGTCTGCCCTGTATCAGAGGACAGCAATGGTCCTTCTGGTATTTTTATTAATTAAGGAGAGGAACTTCCCTTGAGATTCATAGCAGAGGAAGAATGCCATAATTGCACATACTGCATGCAATATTAAATTTTAATTTCTTGCATCCACCTTTGCTAGCCTTGTGGAAGATACAGGAAACTCCCTGGGAGCCCTTAGATTTCAAGTACTCTCAGTATCTTGCTGCAATCTCTTTGTGGTGCCTGTATATAGGAGCTTCTCCCGACCCCTGCAATGTCAGCAAGAGCAGGGTGGCAGGGCTGACATTTATGCTCTGTGCTCCATTTGGTACTCCCTTTGGGTACCCTAGAGACCATGCCAAGATGTGTGACTCCAGTTAACTAACTCAGCTCAGACTGGTAACTTTTTTGGGTCTGAAAGACCATATATTTTCAGTAAATCTGGCTTAGTTAAGAGTTATTTCAAGGTAAGATCAAATGCAAACAAAATGTGTTTTCTTCCACATCATCTAAAAATTAAGAACGCATCGACAAGTTTGTAGAATGACGTGGGGAAAAAAGGTTTTGAGGAAATACAAAACAAAACAATCTTTCTTATTGAAACCGACTTCCCATGGATTTTCCTGACACCCAGTATTTCACCTAGCTGCATGCCTACACATCTGTTTGCACCTATTAAAGAACAGGAGAACCTCTTCTCAGGGCATTAGCCAATGTCTTACCTGAGGTCCCTCTGGGCTTCCACACAGATTTAATCTTTATCCCCAAACTAATTTCCTTCTTATCCAGGAGACAGGTCTAGTCATTCATCTTAATTTAAAAAAGCATTACTTTGCTTCCGTGGAGATACTAAAGCCCCTCTCTCTCTTACATCAAGGACCATCTCCTGTGCTTACCCAAGTACTTTACTACTTTCCCCAAATGGGCAGGAGTGGACACTTCCTCAGAAATGCCTTTGGTGCACCTATTTTGGTATGAAACATTTCACATGTGATAAAATTCTATGCAAAATGTGGAACAAACATGGGATGCAAACATCAGAATGAGACAGACACATGTAACTCATGACTCTCAACAAAGGGCAAGCAGGTCACTACAGAGCCAGTTCACTACCCAGGACTCAGCAGTGCTGGTGGGTAAAGGCGAGTGCAAAGGCTCACACGCTGCAGTAAGCGCTTCTGGGTGCGGGCTGCTAACGCTGAAGCTCCTATAGGGGAAGGGCATGGAGGAGGACTTCATGCATCTACTTCTGCCAGATCCTCACTGCTGCTCCTGCAGCTTTCACAGCCTAGCTACCTGCCACCTCGTCCACAGTGGCAGCCCAGGGTCAGAGACACAAAGGTCACTTTACCTTTCTGCCACTCAATGGGAGTGACACCTCGCAGCACCCTACCCTACCCACCACCTCACCACTTAGCAATCAGGAGGGGAAGAAAAGCACGATCCAAACTTTCAAGCTGTTTCCAGGCAGTTTGAGTTCTCCAAGAACTATTAGTAGGCAGATTAATTTGAGGATTTACAAGACAGGATGTATTAGAGAAAAGAAAAATCTCGGTCCCATCTAGAATGGTCACATTAAGTATCACTGTTTAATACTTAAACCAGTGGTTTCCACAGTCTTCTTTTAAAAACTGCTTTAATTTATCTTATTTCACGCTACTGAACAACAGGCACAGTTTCATTTCATGGATTTGAGGACAAATTCCTTCCTTTCTTATCTCTAACTTTTGATTACTGTTCTCTTAATATGGCTATGACACAACAAACCAAGAATAAGAATTACCTTAAACTGCAGGGTTTGGGGATTCCCCCCCGCCCTTCTCACATGCTTTTACCCCAGAAGGCAGAACTGTCCACGCAAGAAACTCCACACATTGTTCAGTGTTATAAATATTTGTTTAGCCTCTTATCAGCGAAGCATTGTTGAGACCAAAAAAATTTACTTACATAAAAACAAAAGGAGGAAACAGTGCAGTCTGTAAGGCAGGAGAAGACAGTGCTAAGTGAAGAAATACAAATACAGACATGTCCCTAAAACAACACAAGAGAATCCAGCATAAGTTTAATACGACAAATACAAAGGGAAGAGAATTTATCAGTGTTGGGGATAATTCATTTAGTAAGTTCATTTGGCAATCCCAGCCACTTCCAAAATGGACAGAAAAATACTTTTGAAGGAAATTTGGAGCAGTGAATCAGAAAAGTTCAGCTCTTCTCCCAGGCTGCTATTCTGGTTTTGGGAAAAGCAGTAGAGTCATTGTCTCATCTACTCAAAACAGGCACCAACATAAAAAAAACCTGTATTTTGGCAACAGTACATGTTCAGTAGTACTTTTCACATTTCCTACACTTTCGCTCCTGAAATTCAAGGAACATACCATATAGCTAGAATTGGACACTTTCTTGTATCCCTTAATACTGCTTATTTGGATCTTCCCTTAATGCTGTCACTATTACTTGTGGTAAAGTCGCCTGAAACATCTAGAACTGCTGCCTACTCCCCACTTGCCTGCCCCAGTAGCTTGAAGCACAGCTCAGTCATTAGTATAAGAATACAGAATAATACACAGTTGGTGAGGGATTTTCTTCTTTTTTTTTTTGTTTTGTTGAAAAGAACAGTTTTGGGGGGGAAAAAAAAAGTAAAACCACAAAAACCCCAAACAAGCCAACCAAAAGAGGTATCTACTATATAGTTCCCCCACAGTTTTCTCCCAGTTTTTCTTTAGAAAACTTAAAATTAGGTGATTTTGTTTTAACAGAAATCAACACCAATCTGAACCCTTGGCAAGCTCTCAATGGATTTGTCGCTAAGAGGCATGGGCCATAAAAGGAGAAAGGGCAAGAATGGAGGCCCTTATTACAACATATTTGAAAAGAACAGTGGGTCAGGGACTGAATTGCATCTTAACATTGAAACAAAAATAAAATGGACATCCTTGAATTAAAATTCTTCAGAAATTTCTATGCCAGAAACATTTTCCCCTGGCTAGCACACAATAAAAGTCTGAAAGTATGGGAACTTACCACATGAAATTCAGATTTCTGGCCAGCTGCACTTTTGAAACAGAAGTTCATAAATTAGAACCCCAACCTGGTTTGATATGAAAGAAATAACATTTTTAGAGCAGTGCTGAATTTGTAGATACTCAGCCTGACTTCTGTTTGTGTACATACACACCAAACACATTTGTGAGTTGCTGAAAGTAAGTACAGAGGAATGTTACAAGCATGCATTCCTCCACTGCATGCACAAATGGTAAGTGCGTTGCAAGTGCAGAGAAGCAGAGGCTGCATATTCAGGGGCTCTAGGCAAGAAAACACAGGCCATGATCAGACCAGATTTGATTCCTGGTAACACCTGCAGATTTCTGGGTTACATTCTACCTACACTCTCAATAGCATACACACCACAGCTCTCCTATGGTATTCAATCCTTGGCCTCATGCTTGCTCCTCAGAAGAAAAACCACCTTACACTGGAGTCCTTTGATGAAGGACCACATAAGAGCACCGCTTTTTGCCTGTTATCAGGTACTGGTTGGCTCTCTTTGCTCAATTACTCAGAGAGTTTTCATCTGTCCTTTTGCCAACAGCTGAATCCTTTTGCTCATGCTAAAGGTTGCTGTTTACCAGCAGCACAGACTGGAAAAGATCAGCCTCCTAGATCACTAACTCCAAACCTCTGCTGCTGCAAGGAAATGTGTCTCAATTTTATTCATAAATGCATAATGACTGTCTGTCCTCACAGCTGCATCCTGAATATACCATATTACTCCATGGGTGCCCAATACAGAGACAGCCCATGATCTCAGCTCACATTCAAGGATATAGATGAGTTGCATTAAAATGAGACTGATAGGGATGTATGTACCTGCTCATATTGTCTTTCTCCCAATGAAAAAGAAGTCACAGCATGGCCACAACGGTCTCGTCCTGTTAATAACTTCTTGCAGGAACTGTGCCATTTGTCTTTAGGGGCATATAGTGAATCTGTCTCTCCAGCTTGGTCACTGGCCAAACGTGCAGAGTTTTTGGAAGAGCAGAGAGGCAGGGAGGTTATGGGTTAGGTTGTTCAATGCTGCTACACGATAGTGTTGGTAAATATTTCAGCAATGTTAGTTTTCAGTAAAGCATCCATTGTGCCAAGCTGCTTCCCCTTGTGTCAGGAGCCCTGCTGTCCCCTGACAACTTCTCCCATGAGGTTAGGTTGCTGGGGAAACAGACAGAGCATGCCTGCTATACGGAGCAAACTGTAACAACCTATGCAACAGGTGAAAGTGGTGCTGGACAAAAACAGGGGCCTGGAAAGCAGGGTTAACCTGCGTGGGCTTGTCCCCGCTTCAAAAGTTTGCCCTGTTAGATACGATCATGGGGATATAGCTGGTTGGTGAGATGCTGAGCGCAGATAGAGATGAGTCATGTTGAACACTGTCAGGCAGCTGCAGTAAAGCCATGGTCCTTGCACAGCACTCCCACTCCAGGGAGTGCTGGTCTCAGCATACCCTTCACAGCCCCATTCAGAAGCAAAACACAGGACAGGGATCAGAAAGGCCTTAAACTCAGTTTGATTTTTCCTTTGCATCTTCTATTTTAGTCAGTGGCATATACAAGTATCTTCAGCTAGAACCTTAAATACTGCCTTTTTTAAGACAAACCAAGAAAATGAAGCAAGCACTAGCAGACTACCTGAGAGGACAGCTCTATTCTCTCTCACAATGGAAGATAGAAATGAAGGTGAAAAAAGTCAGCAGTAAAATTTTTAGGAAAAAAAACCCCTAGCCTAGTAATCTCATTCACCACTGGTTTCCTATCTTATCATTCTATTAAAACTGAAGGTTTCTATTATAAAAGCTGCCCTGGTTTTACCTGCAGACAGATCTGTGCTCAATAAACAGCTCTGGTGGCAGAAAAGTGGCTGACTGCTTCCCGTTCATTGCCAGCTGTGGTGGGGTCCCTCTGCCACTTCTCCCATGTTAGCTGGCAGGTTGCTTGTACAGGTGTGCACTAACTTGTTTCAGGTAACCAAGACTGACTAGTCAAAACCAGTCCATGTCATTGACGAAAAGGAGCATGCTATTTCATCATTTCAATAATGTTTTATTCTTGAATCTTTCCTTAATCATCCTTCTTGCAATATAACATAAACAAGAGCAAGTTTGGGGTAATGCCTGGTTTTAACACTACATAGCAGTAACACTGAAACCCTAACTATGTTTTCACTCCTAAGCAATGTGTAGGATGCTAAGTGCTGCCTACACATCTTCAACAACGGAGAAGGAAAGAACAGCGCAGAGGTGCTTTAAATATGAACTTCACTCCATGTCTTTCAATGTTGTTACAGAAATTTTGTCACTCTGCCATAAAACGTCTCACAAGTCACAGTACACTAATAAATACTGGAACATGCACAAAGCCAGTTTGTTGAGTGAGATTCTTTAATAGCCAAAATGAATACTTACTCAGCCATCAGTTACACCAATGAAAGGCACTGTGCACAGCTAATGACAGTGGGTGCACTCCTGTCTTTCACAGAGTTATTTGATCTCTCTTAGGAGCTTGTTCTTTACCATAATGAAAGAACACACAGAGCACTACTGCTATTTGTATTATGAAGCAGTAATTTATGTAAGCACAAGCATTTTAAGTTTAAATTGTAAACAAAAAACCCAGGAGAACTACTGTCTTTGCCAAGCAGGAAGCCTAAACATCATGTATGAAAATCCGTTGTATTGTGGAACAGAAGCTTGGGTTAATTTCATGTCCTGGGAATGTACTGACCTTGCTCTAATGTTTAAGGTATAATTCAGTGCCTATCTTGAACTCTACAAAATAACTGACTGCTTTTGGCAGCACAGTCATCCCATGCCTTGATAAGCACACACACACAGACATACGTGACCCATAAATCAAGTAAGTGTTACACATGTACTTATCAAGCCACCTCTCTTCACCAAAAGGGCCTTCAGTAAAGAAAAACCTAAATATACAACATCATTTTTGATGGTATGTTAAGAGAAATCCACAATACTGGCATGCCAAACGACATCTTTAAACACTGCAAACATGCATTTTGAATCATTATTTCCTGCCAGAACTTTGTCAAAAAAAAAGTCAGTTGGCAGTGTTTTAACTTCCTTTAGCAGACCTGTTATCAGTCTCATCAAGACTAATTAAGACTCAGCAGTAATTGCTGAGAGTTATCTGTAGGGCCATAGCAGGCATTGGATCAGAACTAAAGACAGACTGCTTCTCACAAAAGAAGTACCTAATCAGAAAGGGGCTTTCCATTCACTGTCTTGAACACTTCAGCAGGTCTGAATTTAAGAGACTGTAAATAAACTGTATCTTTTTATTTTTGAAGGATATACAAAAAACCTTTCTAGAATTTATTAGGAATACTTCTTCACACCATTTTCTATAGCCTTTCTGAACTCCCCTTACATACCTTAATCACACATAGCAAGTGAAGAGCTCTTGAGTCACAAAACCCTTACTTGGTCCTTCAAAACATCCCCTATCTCCAGAAGAACTCACTGCAAGTGAGGTTACAGCAGCACCAGCAGTATGCCAAGCACTTCCCAGAAAACTAAAGCAGCATCCCCTCCCCAAAAATGCTGTTGGAGTCATACTGCACCCACCTGCTCCAAAACACTACTATCCTCATAAGAACCACAGCAGCTGGAGAGGAGGTAAGGGAAGAAAAAGGATGTACAGCACCTTGCAGTAGTCAGGCACAAGCAAGAGCTATCCGTGCTCCAAGCCTGCCAAAGAAAGATCACACATGGCATGGAGAAGGTGGACCACATTAAAATGGATTTCAAAAGTCATCTAGGTTGTAACAACCCAAATACATGGCAGATTCTACCCATCACTACAGTTGCAAGATAAGGGAACATGACATTTTCACAGCAGTCATCAATACACTTATCAGTCAAAAGCACTGACACTACCAAAAGGCATTTACAGTTGCAAAATCCAAGAATGTGTGTAATCCTTCTATTGAGCTCTCACAAAGACTCTTCTGGGAACTGTTTAGAGGCAAAAGATTCATCAGATATGCCACAGGATATAAAAACAAAGCAAATAGTTCTTTCCATGTGAGAAACAAGTTCATACATGGACAAAACAATAGCAATACTGTTATTATTGCCACCCAGGCTTCACAGAGAGCACTCTCATCGGAACACGCTGCTTTACAAGACAGACAAATACACTAAGAGCACAAGGAAAGGAAGACAGCAAAGGAAGCCTTGAACTTAGGAGGTAGGATAATATTTCAACTCTTTCATATAACAAACTATTTGGCCGAAAAATTCAAAACTCACCTGCTGTAGCTTTCGGAAAAAACCTATGAAGACATCACTATTGGTAATACTTGAATCCAATGTAACTGAAAAACAAGAGAAAAACAGGGAGGGAGGAAACCAAACCAAGAGATCAAAAACATGGCTAGCGTCTAAAAACAAGATGTATAAAACATGACTTGGTTAAACAGCCAGTGCTACTGTACTCATCCTTTGGTTTCTGCACAGCTACCTTTACTAGCCTGTTAAATCACTGAAGCTATGAACAGTGCAAAATATATGTAGTGTTGCTGTTCTCCCTACATTAAGGTCCTTGGCCATGTAATTCCAGGGTCACTCATAGCCAGTAACTCTAAAAGGAACTGTTGAATAATCACATTTAAAAAAAAAAACAAAAAAAACCACACACCACCACCCAAACCACTAAGTAAGATTTTAAAGACTAATCTTGAACTTCTGTTTTGTAAGTCTTGGCACAAAGTATCTGAGGCCAGAGGCTACAAAACCTCTTTAAGCTCATCCCCTCACACACCCTTCTTTTTGGGTAGTTGAAGTGGTTATATTTTTTTATTTCTTGGCTTACATGAAACTCACCAGATGCATTCTAGGGATCCTGCAGACCTGGTTTATAACACAACACATTGTGCCCGAGATTTAATTTTTCTACAAACTCTTGTTATAATTCCCACAAGTCTGCCTGGAAACCCTTGAATGGAAGAGGTTTTATGCAGAGCCCCATTCCATATTACAATTCTACCGGTCCAAGTGCCTGTCTTTTTTGCCTCCCTCTTTTACCCACCAGCTATGAGTTCTCACACCCGGCCCCATGTCAGCTCTGGCAGTGGTGAAGCAGCAGGGATGAGTGGCTCAGCTCACTGATCTGGAAGACCAGAGAATGGCCAGACTACAGGCTGCCACCAGACGGCCAAGTTGGCTTAAGTTTAGTGTGAAACCGCACCCTTACATTTTGAGAAAGCTGCAGAAAGGCAGCCGCTTCAGAAATAAGAGAAATATGATATGCTGCTGTTCTAGACCCAGTGAACCAACGGACAGCCCCAGCCTTTTAGACACACCCTTACTCAGCTCAGTATAGAAACAAAGGACCCTACAGTCACAATTGTAAACACATCCTCAAATGTTTAGGCCCTATGTATGAAAGCTGGTCAGGCCGTTATAGCCAGGCTTACCATTCTGAAGGTACTGCTCCAGCTGAGACCGTCTCTCATCTGCCATAGACTTGGTCATTACCAGATAAAACTTTGGAGGGAAAGCAGGCACAGCGCTCCCAAAAAGCTGCCTCAGCTACAAGACAAGCAAAGGAAGGCTCCACATCAGTGAAGAAGTATTCATAGCTTCCAAGGAGCTTTCAATGCTCTCTTGTCTTGACAGTGAGACTTGATGACCTACAAAGGGCACGGGGTAGCCACCCAGCACCTCCCTGATGGCCCTCAGGGCCCACAGCGAGGGTAAAGCCTTTGCCCGGGCAGCCACCAGAAGACAGCCCTCTTTTGATAGGTTTCTCATTTTCACAGTCTTACCACTTCTGAGCTCCTGACCCAAGGTTAATACAATGTTACTTTCCTGGCTTATCAGCTAGGTCTTGTACACCTCATGGACAAACAAGATATGGTTACAGATGTCTTTTCTTCCCAATGCATCTATAAAGGATTTCTTTGATCTATACCCACAGAACTACTTTTTTAGAGTTGGTGACTTCTCCCCTTGACTCATGCTATCTGAGAGGCTTTTATTATTTTATCCATGAGTGGTAATAGCTTTTATCAGATCATCTAATATAGTCAAAAGAAAAAAAAACACCAAACAAAAAAACCACCAGAGAATCTTTCAGGAACACAAACTATCTGAAAGTTTGATTCTTCCTCCAACTATATCAGCTGGCTAATATGAGCATAATGTCTCTGTACAAACCCTACCTCATTTATAAACAGACCTGAAAGAACTAGAGAACTACAATTACATTATCTTACGTTAGCGTAAGATAGTTCAAATGTAGGTTTGGGCAGTAGTTGGTCACTTGGAATTGTAAAAATTCTCTATTATGGGCAAATTATCTCAAGAGAAGGACAAGCTATATTTACCTTCCCAATATGCATATTACTAAACACAGCAAAATAGAGCAAGTTTGCCTGGAAACATTCCTTCACCTAAACCAAAACAATATGGCATCTGATCTTTGACGATCTGAGTCTTTAGACTCCTATAGTACGCTGAGAAATTACTACTAATTAAATTTTAATCATCAATATTCAACTCAGCAATTAGTGCCACTAAATCCTGTGAAAGATGTCATTTTCCCCTCTGGCCCCAGCTGCCCAAGTCTTTCACATGACTCCAGCAGCTGAAGCTTGAAGACAAAAAAAAGTTTATTAGCGCAAGAATTAGCAATACCTTTTCCTGCCTGTTGGCTAAAGACAG